ATCGGTCAAAGAGTAAATGACTTGGGCAGAGCGGAAAGTCTCCTACATACTGATTCACAGAACGTGAACTTTCCCTTGGAAGTTGTAGCACCTCCTACAAAAACACTGCCCAAGCAGAAGCCTCTATTTACAGAGCTTCCCTTAAAGTCAATGATAATTTTATAGCTGCCATATCTGCAGCTGTGCCTTAATTCACTTTGAGGTCTTCTCTCTATTTCTGACCAGCATGCTATTTTTATCCAAATGTGTCCAAAATACACCAGCCTTCTTACTCTTTTCCAGAACCCCAAAGCTTCCTAATTCCAATAAATCTAAGCTGCGAACTTTCCACTCAGAAAAAACCCCAAGAACCTTTATAAAAGGTAGCAACACAGCAAACATTCCGTTTCTGAGGGAGGCATTTCATTTTTTATTTTCTAAGCTTCCAGCTACTAGAAATGACCAGAGGCAATTCTTTGCTATACTTATGCGCTGCAAATTGGAAAGTTTCAGCAGGTAAACAGTTAAGAACTGGGGAGGGGAGGAGGAGGAGGAGGAGGAGGAGAGGGTTTGTTTCCTTTCTAGTTCTCATCATCCAGCATGCTCCCTTAGCAGAGCAGAGGTTAAAGCCTCTGCGGTAAAGCAACACTATTTATAATCATCAGCAATGTACTCCACATATTTGAAAGTCTGATTTCAGTCCTTTAAAGGCTGTCTCGTTGGCAACAGAATTTGGAGAAGCTCAAGTTTTCTCTCATTATTGTGACTTGGAGGACATTTCTGAAGCCAAACAGCATTACTGCAGAATAAATATGCTAAGCATTGCGGGAAGCCAGATGAAGTCTTAAATGAAAACATTCACGTTAATGTTTAACCCCTTTCACTTACACGAGATCTCCACACAAGCGACAGAACGAAGAATGCTGTCTGAATTCTGCTGAAGGACAATGCGACTCTCTATTTTTATTATGCTGCCGTCTCCTGGCTAATTTTGTACAAGGTAAGGCTGAATAAATTACATTGTAGGACTTCAGGGTTTTGATTTTCCTTTATTAAAACACAAGATGTTTTAATTTTGTAAAGTGACAAATATTTTCACTTCAGAAGGACCGTTTCACTTAAAAAAATACTCAAATCTTCAATAAGGTTAATTTTGTTTTTCTTTTTTACTTTGTCATAGATTTACAATAGGATGGAGGTCATCACTACTACTGTTGTTTGTATCATAAAATCACAATACTTATGAATACTTGTATGCTCTGTTGCAAGCAACGTAATTTTTTTACAGCTCTATAACTTAAGGGTTTAAATAGCTTTCATAATATCTGTTTTAAATTGTTATGAGGTCAAATACACAAGGAAAAAAATGGTAACAGGGAAACAGAAAAAATAGCAAAGATGAACAGCTAAACCTCCACAAAGCTGTTGAATATGTATCAGTAAACGCCAATGCAGTATTTTTAATTAAGAATGATTTAAAATTTCTATGGCAGTATTAATTGGTTTGATGAAGATATTTTTTCTTTTACTTGATGCATGTTGCAAGACAGAAGCAGACTCAGCATACTTAGCCAGGCTCAAGCAAAAAGCAAAGCAACATAAAAAGCAGTTAAAAGCACTGATTTTAACATTAATTTTTAAAATTGCTTGTTTATAAAGTGTCTATACTAACATCTGCATGAACAGCTTTCAGACAAAAAAAACAGACATAAATTTAGAAATAATGAGTTAATGCCTTTTAACCATTTTATTAGAAGATGAAGCACTCCCAAGTTATTTGTTTCACTGAATTATGAATTCATATGAACGAAATTTTATCTAAACTTTAATATTAAGCAGACACAAAGAGTACAGACAAAATATAGTATTTAGAGGTGCAATGATGCAGTCCAAGATCCTATGGCAGGAAGAAACAGCAAATTGTAAAATGATTTGTTACTATGAAATGCACAGCAAAGTATATAGCTAATGGGATCTCGATGAACTGAGATGGTATTTCAAAGGCTTGTTTTCAGGCATAATCGTAATTCCACTTTTCTCTAGAGTTTACCCTTTTTTAATTGAGATGGGAGGAGCTTACACTTACAATAACAGTTTTCTGTTAAGTAATATACATAAAAGCAGCCACAAAGACGCTTGAAAATCCCTACAAACAGGTTGTTTTTTGAAGAATGTCAAACACTAGTCTTAGTAGTTCTAAAAATTAAGACAACTCCATCCTCTAGATTTAGAAAACCTATCCGTAACATCGAAAAGGTTGAGTTTCAGAAAGACATTCTGATTACAATAAATACCTAGCAAAACCAAAAGGCAAGATAGTCACAGACTGGGTTATGCCTGGACTGCGGATCTTCTCAACAGTACGACATCTTGCTCTTCAGGGGCAGGAGGAAATATGGTAGCATAGTCCTTGACAGCAGACAATAGCACAGGGGCTACAGGATTCTTTGAAGTGGCAAATTTCATACACAATGGGACTAACAGCTGCAATTCTAGGTCTAAATCTGGTAAAGCACTAATGGAAAGCCAATGCTTTCATTCTATAGTATACCCCGAGGCTAAAAGATGTCAAATAGGCAAGGGTTCAGCATTTAGTCATTCCCTGGAAACACGTTAACACTGGAGAAGAAATTGTTTCTTCTTACCTGATAACGGGCTGTTTGTGTACTTTTATGCTGCCATATAAAATATGGCTTCTTGATGCCACGCAGTTCAATAGGAAAAATCCATAGAATACACTTAACCTGAAACATCCCTGGAAGCCATTATTTGAAGGGTAATAAAAATTTAAGTGTATGAAACAAACAGGGTATGGCTTGGCTCCCTAGGGAACTATCCTTTGCCACCTGTCCACAGAGATGTATTTAAGGAAAAAACCCAAAGAGTGCACTCATCCTGTACAGATGTTCAATATTGTACACAAAGTCCCAAACATTTCTACAGCTGCCAGGCGTCTTCAGCAATTCTTATGTCCAGAATGAACCTTCCCTGTGACATGCCATAGCGATGTCATCACATTCACTAATTCAGAGCAACCTCAATGCTCCTCCTGTAATCATTCACTCAGAATAACACAGTTTTTCTGACTCCAGGCCCACAAACATCAGTGCTTTGCTAACAGACACTCCCTCTCCCCAGCTTCTGCTATTGGGTACATCGTGGCCCTGATGCAATCTATTCTCAGTCTGGTAGGCAGCTGCTAGCAGGCTACAGCAGTGCTATACTTGTTTTTTACTGTGACAATCCTGGCTTTCACTTTTCAGAGGTGTTCCTTTTCTCCTCCTTTCCTCACTATACTGAAAGGGTGACGTGGATTTGGTCTGCTGAAGTTTTTCATTCAAATGGATGAAAGACTCATGTCAAGCTTGATTACCCAGGAAAAGTATTCCTTGGGATCTGTGAATCAAAAAATATTCTTCTGGGACCTGACTTCCTAATGTTTTTCTTTGGCCTGTGCATTCGATGCAGACTGAGGAGCACTGGCAGAACATACGAGCAAAATGGATGAACCCTCCACCTAACATAAGACTTCACTTTCTGGAATGCTAAGTGGAAAAGAGGCATTCTTCCAGCATGAAATCCAGTGCATACCAGTAAGGACAATAAGATAAATACATTCTTTCCCAACAGCCTAATAAGATTTTAAAATTGTGGTAATATACAGTATCCATTCTCCTGGTTCAAATTCTGTATTCTCAATGCTTTTTAAATTCTATGCCTTATTTCTACTTTAACTACAACGCCCTCTACTTTGAAGCTTTTAAGACAGACATATTCTGAGTTTTCATTAAAAAAGTATTTTCCATTTCTTTCTAATGAAAACCTAGAGCCTTCTAACCACAGCGAGCCTTCTAACCACAGCAGCATTCCTATTAAGAAACTACCTTTATAAAAATACGCTTGTTCTCTATTCCTATGTAAACCAAAATACATTGTGATGTTGATGGCTGCAGAGCATGAAATATTTACAGGTGAAATACAAATTTTGTTAAAAACAAATTCATTGAATAAAAGAAGAGAAAATTAATTATCTTTAAAATAAATCTTAAAAAAATCTTTCTTAATTTAACTATTAATCTTAAAAGCAGATGACGGACCCTCGCCCCACCCCTGGTATTTTCTCTAGGAAGTTCTATACCAAATGCTTAAACAAGCATAAAGACTCCATGTAATTGCTGTGGGATTCAGGACTGGCTCACCCTCATTCTACTGCCTTTTCAACAAGGTATACAAAAGAAAAAAAAAAGTCACAATGGAAAAACTCCTATGCCAATACAGATGCAAATTACAGTTATCTCTGAATGCTGATACTGGCAGTAGTGCACTTATCTCAGGATATGCATACATGCTAAAAATGAGTGTTGTCCGCATGTTCTGTTGTCCAAAGCACTAATACAAAGATGCCAGAATAAAAATAAAATCTCTCAAAGAGACAGAAACATTTGCTGACTTTATAAGGATAAAAACCAGTGTATTGTGGATTACATTTTTGTCTCTTCCTTTTGTTTATTTAATAAACTTTCTGCTGATTGAATTTACTGAATTCTGGTCCTCCGGCAGAACTTAAGGTTTCCCAGGCCTTAAGGAAAGCTCAGCAGCAGCTGTCCCTTAGCACACAGTGCTCACACATCTTCCCTATTCTAAAGCTGGATCGTGACCAACCTATGGCACGGGACTCACCTACTGGCACATACATTGCCTCAAAGTAGAAGAAACTTCTATCCAACGGGCTAGGCCTCCCCTTGCTCAAGTAATGAAGTGTACAAAGCCACTTTGGGTTCTTTGGATAATTTTGTTTGTCCTAGAAAGACTGCTTCATGGCTCTGTAAGTACCATTTCCAGTGGCCAAGTACACTGCAGCATGAGCACAGGCAGAGCTCCTCCTAGTACCTGGAAAGAGAGTAATCTCAACACTTACAAATGAATCACTAACAGGGGGAAAAAAAAAAAAAAAAAAAGAAAAAAAAAGGGCAAAAAGGTTCTCTCCCTTTTCTTTATCTCACTTTTCCTTTCAGATAATCTGAACCCTTAATTAAACTATGATGAGAAGAGGAATATAAAAGATGAACCCACTTGATGCAACAAAATCAGGATTTTTAGTTTGCATTGCGATCTGTATGTTCATCTACACTTTTATCTACCTAAAGAATATGCTTACTGAAGAGCCCAATGAACAAAAATTTAATGCAAATATAGCAGAGTGTGGTTTTTACCCGGATGAACTTTGTTCAGCTCTTTTTGTGGGGAAAACTGCTGCCTTTAAAATTGGAAACTTTTGTCAGAATACCTACCAACCTAAAACACTCAGCTGCGTTCATACTTCGTGCAACTGCTCCACGGTTTTGAAGACTCTGCATTTTATCACAAGACCACTCTCAGATGAAGAAGGAAATTTCTCGTTGGCATATATTATCACAATTCACAAGGAGCTAGAAATGTTTGTAAAGCTGCTAAGAGCTATTTATATGCCTCAGAATATTTACTGCGTACATGTTGATGAAAAATCACCAAAAGACTATAAAGCTGCTGTACAAAACATCGTTAATTGTTTTGAAAATATTTTTATTTCCTCAAAAAGAGAAAATGTTGTTTATGCAGGATTTTCGAGATTACAAGCTGATATTAATTGCATGAGAGATCTAGTTCATTCCAAAACGCAGTGGAATTATGTTATTAATCTATGTGGTCAAGATTATCCCATTAAAACAAACAAAGACATTATACAATACATCAAAAGTAAATGGAATGGCAAAAATATGACTCCTGGGGTGGTGCAACCACTTCATATGAAACACAGGACACAGGTTAGTTACAGAGAATATGTACATTCTGGAATGTCATACGTGTACCCAACAAAGAATATAAAAGATAAACCACCACATAATTTGACCATATATTTTGGTAGTGCCTATTACATACTCACTAAAGAATTTGTAGAGTTTACATTGACTGATGCACGTGCAAAAGCTTTGCTTGAATGGTCAAGAGACACGTACAGTCCGGATGAACACTACTGGGTCACACTGAATCGTTTAAATGGTAAGATATATGTTATTTCTACTATGAATAACCCTAACTATGAATAAGGTCTCTGACACAGAGAACTAGCGAGCTCCAATTCAGAGCTTAACACTACCGCTTAACTGAGCTGCATTGCATCAATAAGGTAATTTCTTCAGCCTTGATGCTGCCCTTTCAAAAAGCCACATCTCCTGATGGATGAGAAACACAGCTTGACTCCAGAAAAGTACTGCTTATGGTGCAGACCATTAGCTACAAGGCTAGAAAAATGTTGATTAAAAAAAAAAGTAAATTTTTTTTCTACATGAAAGCTCATGCTCTCAAGGAATAAAAAAAAGCAATTAAACTGAGAAAGATGTTTGCTGTTAGGCTGTAAACATCTGTAAATAAATACTTAACGGGGATACATTTAAAAAGTCTTGAGCAGTGAAAATTTTCCCTGTAATAAGTAGAAAGAAATCTTATTAGAACTTCATGTTTTTAAAGATGCTCCAGGGGCTACGCCCAATGCAGACTGGGAAGGAAACATACGAGCCATTAAATGGAAAGATCGAGAAGGAATCATACACAAAGGTTGCAAAGGTAATGTGAATTTTGATCACAAACTCAAATTTGATTCACTGACTAGCATTCATTGCAAATTACATATTATGCTTTAAACTAGCTATTAGATGTGCCTCAGTGGTCATATATATTTTATATTGAAAGTATCAAATGAAACAGCTAACATCCTACTAAATTACTCCACTGCATCCAATCTAAATAGCTTCTGATATATTCTCGCAAGGATTGTCACAGCATCCATATGCTGACAGCCCTTCTTTCATCCTCCAATTACCAACGCATTCACTTGACCGATCAGTTTTCAGTGAAGAGTAGGGGGTTTACTTGACAAGCATGTTTGCCAGATACTTTCATCAACATGGGGTTAAATCTCTTCAATTTGAACAATAATAAAAAGCAGAGTAGTGCTGACCACACGGAAAGCATAAAAAAAAAAAAATTAAATAGGTAACTGCATAAACTCAGCACAGTGAAGTACTGCATGATTAAACAGGTATCCAAATAGAGGGTGGAAATCAGAACTTCAGCATGTGCAAAGACAAAATATTAAGCAGAGCAACATGTCAGTGAAGCAGCTGGAGGTAACATATACCCATTTGTGTAAAAAACCAAACCAGACCCTTGCTTTTATGTTTAACATCTAGCATTACCATCTGGATATATTTCAGTGATGCTCTATGTGAAATCAAGAGGTAATTTTTGTTAGTGACAATACAGGGTCAAACTATTTAACTGATTCTGTTCAGCTTTCTGCTGCGTTCAGACACCTTCAATTTGTCTTTGCAGGTCATTACGTCAGAGACATTTGTGTCTATGGACTAGGGGATTTGCAGTGGATTATTGAGTCACCTCATTTGTTTGCCAACAAATTTGAGCCTGCAACATACCCACTTGTTATGGACTGCCTAGAGAGACGCTACAGGCTTAAAGTACTGCGCCAGGCAGAGGTCCCGATTGAAGATCACTGGCGTCTTCAGGAAGAGAACTACTTCAACATGAAGCTGAATGTTTGAGCTTAACATCTAAACAATTGTTCAAAATACTGACAGAAACCATTAACTTTTTTAGCCAGAGACTTCATTCTGTGCATTACAGCATGAGGGTTCGCACAATACTGTACTACCAGTCTGCCAGTGAAATAAACAGGGTTTATTTATTACAGGAAAACAAAGAGCAACAACTGCTAATGGGTTAATTCTCAAAGAAAATGACATATCTAAATCTATAATTTAGTGAAGACAACGGGGAAGTTCATAATCCTTTAAAGTGACTTATTTAACTGGAAAAACACATATTCCTCATGTCTGCAGCCAAAAAAAGGACTAAATGGCATGAAAATAATAAAACAGAAGCAATGACGGAACAAAGATAACATATGAAGAGCACGAGTTGAAGTCATATGTACTGTATGTCTTATGAAATAGATTATTTTGACTAATGAAGTTCACGCTATAATTTCAGAGCTTGTAGATAAGCAAGTGACAACCAGTTTCAGACACAGTCCATTTCACTTTTTTTTTCCCCCCTCATGGCCAGCTGTATCTCTAATTTCATTGTGTAGCATGGCAACATCACTTGTACTACTCAGGCTCTGCTCCTAATGAAAAGGGCGTGTGTGCCTGTAACAGTAGCAGGGATTCTGCAATGCATGTTTACTTTTAAGTCCCTATTTCTGAGTCTCTGCAGGAGTTTAGGGCAAGGAGACATGGGAAATTTGAGGCCAGGGAACAAAGGAAAACTGAGTGAAAAGCCACTGAGGGAAACAAAACTTCCCTGAACCCTGCAACAATCTGCAGCAATTGGAGATAACCCAGCAGCAACCAGGACAAGCATCTCATTTACCAAACCTTCTGTAGACCAAATGCGGCACTCACTGGTCCACAGTAAGGAGGCTTTCAAGACATAACACGGGCAAAACTAGGGAACAGTAACACAAAAAGAACAAGGATCCAGCCCTTTTCCAGGCAGGAGTTGCTCTTTCCTCTTCAGGACTCTTAAGTTAATCCTTTCACTTGGGCAACTAGAAAGATTGGGGTAATATAAGGAAACAGAGAGGATATAGGCAGTGGTCTTCCTACTATACAGCTCTTCCACAGGATTAAATGTCTCACAAGACCACCTCTACACCCTGCCTCCAAAGGTCTTTAGTTAGGTGCTACTGACTGAAAGAGACTAGCAGAAATCTGAGTTGTGAGAAGTCATTTCAAACTGTTCACCCTCCTTTAGAAGCATTTTAGCAAGAATGCAGATGAAAGTTTCATTCCAGTAAATCCAAAAAAACTCCCAATTATTTGGCATAAACTCCCAATTATTTGGCATAAACTCCGATGGGAACTAATAAAATATATCTTGCTACTTACAAGCTCACTTGATTAGAAACTACAAGTTATAAATAGATGTCTAGGAGCAATTTAGATGTAAGCTTCAGCATACACCCAAAATATCGCTCAGTTTTTACAAGAAAACTGACTTACAGATTGTGTTTTTCCAAAAAATCAAATGAATCAACAAATGATCCAACAATAGAACATGAGTGTTTCTTATTACAGACTTGTTCCCAGGTTCCTGGAACGATACTGCTCGTTTTCTCACAGGAGTTTCTTGGAAACATAATTTCTTTCAAATGAACTTTAACCTAAAGAAAGACCATCTGGTCCTTATTTATTTACAGAAACTCACAAACTCAACCCAAAGGCCTGTACTCAGTTTCATGTATAATCCAGGACTTGGCTTGTGGCTAAATGTTGCTGGAAATGCTTTTTTATGGAGGGAAATAAAGGGAAAATAGAAAGGTAAAAGAAGCAGCCATACAGCATGTTCACACTGAGCTTGTTGACAGTCCCTCTGAAAACCATTACTGCAGCTAATGGGTCTCTGGCATGTATTAATCATAGAAATATTCATAATTAATTTCTCTCCAAACCACACCCAATCCGCTGTAGGGCACTGCCAGCATTTATTCCTCCATGTTGTCTTTTAAAATGGGAATGCAACGCTCCCCGTACCGTCACCGCAGCAAGCCAGTACCTCGCGTTACCCTTCTGTCACCGACACACAGAACAACAGTCCTGTATCACTTCTGAACTGAACCCAAAGGGCAAATGCAACAGCAAGGCACTACGCAACATGGGCTTGTTTTGCAGAAACTGAACCAGTCGAACTGAAGAAAATCTGCACAAAAAGCCCTCAAAAACAGAATTTAGGTATGACTTTATCCACGTCAATCCAGGAAAATCATTGGAGTGTGTCCCTCCTTCTTTAGAGAGTTTTGCCTTTTTTTTTTTTTAAAAAAAAAAATTTTACATATATAAAGCCCCCAGGAAAATCATAATGAATCCACCCCATTCTCAGTCATCAAGAAACAGTATTCTATTAGTTATTCTGAGTAACCATAACCACATTATATTCTTGAAAGATTTTTTTTACTTCCAACAACAGTAAAAAAAATAAGCAGTAAAACTGTGAAAGCCGAGAGCATTGAAACGTACATAAAAAGCGTTCACTAAGTTCTGCACCCGTTATCGTGTTAAGAGTAGATCAGTCACAGCTTTTAGATCTCAGCAACCAATGTTTACTAACTTTTGGTGACTGTTGATCTAAGGGCACAGTGTCAATGTGACCTTGTTCAAGGAAACCCTGCTCTGTAACACACCGCACACACATTAACTCCATGTCTGAAAGACATATGCATAATTTCCGTTTCAAAAAGCCCGGGGCACACGTTCAACAGCTCTATATCTAAATTAAACATTTGATTAAGTGTTTTATACAGCACAGACCGTAATAGTTAGGGTACTATTTCAAGTGTGTGTTAAGAGTCTGTTGACTCTGAAAACAATTGCAAATAAATTTTAAAGTGATACAAGAAATGACATTTTAAAATGTAATCTTGTCCTTAACTTCCAGAAGAACCTGAACCCCCAGAATTTGGGGCTTCCACCCCAAATTCAATAACCACTACCCTGTATAAACTACCCCTAGCATACTATTACACCCATAGTAACTTCTTAGACAGGAAAGTCAACATCAAAGATTGGTAACAGTGCCTTTTTCAGCCCCCCAAAAGCCACGTTAGATAAACCTATACACGGCTAGGTAATTCTTTTATTCCATGATTTCTGAAAGCATAATTTTTGTCAAACAGCAGACTTCCAAACGAGCAGGCACCAACCACTGCCCATGCAAGAATCAGGAAGCCAGTTAGAACAGAAGTTCAAAACATTTAACCACTTTGGGTCCCACCAAAATCTACAGACCAACACCTAGATTAGCACTAATTTACAATCTTCAAGATCCCATCAAATACAAAAAGAGTGAGTACAACAGCCTTGCTTGTTCTTTTAATTTTAGCAGTCTCACAATAATAGGTGAGAACATCCTATTCAAAAGTGCCAATTTTAAACTGACAACTTCCATGTCCTGTTCCTGCAGAACAGGAAGCAGGAGGCAACACAAAACTGATCTTCAGGGCTTCAGAGCACACATCACCAAACTCCA